GGGGAGGGGGAGAGGAGGGAGGTAGGCGCGTGAGCCACAAAGGAGTGGGTGTCGCTGTCTGAGCCAATGCCCTGCTTATCTGGTCACGAGCAACGTGGTGGCGCGACTTTTGTGGCGCTCGTGGTGAGGTGTGTACGCTCAGAGGGGCAAAGGAGAGAGAGAGAGACAGAGAGAGAGAGAAAGGGTTCCCGCGCCTGCAGCGCCTGCAGTGCATGGCGGCTCGCTCCTCTTGTTGTTGTTTCTTTCTGTACTTTTTTCGTTTCATTTTTGTTGCTTTTTGTTATCGTCATTTGTTATCGCGCCGTGCGCACACAAACTGGAGCAGAAAAAAAAGTGAGGGTATGAAAGACTAAAACGACGGCGCGTCTCTGCAAACCCAAGAGTGTAACATGCATGCATCATTTCCTGCTTGCCTTTTATGAATTCAGGGGCATAGTCTTTGTACATGCCTATAAGAGCGAGGAGACCACCACTACGTTTGTAGATAGTACACAAGATTTCATGATTACAGCTGGATTACAAATGGTAAAGACAAATATTCTGTGCAATTCCGTGCGATTATCGAATATTGAATACAAGGAAGGTGTTAAGGAAAAAGTTAGTGAACACCTGTTCACACATTGGTTATAGCAAGAGCACGGTAAACAACAACGACCATTAGATGCTGACCAGGCAGGCAAACTTACCTCGACCCGTTCTTCCACCAGATTTGTTCTCCCAGCTAGCTACCAATTGTAAGATGTACTTTAACCTCTCCCCCCCCCTCCCCCATCCCTTCCCAAACACGAACCTCTCTCGGAAGGAGGAACTACCCCGTTCCAAGACGGTTAGTGCATCCTACCCACAGGGTCGGATGAGGCTGAAGGGAGGGTGCGAAGGCAGCAGGGGCAGGGACGCGCGATAGCCAAGCCACCCCAGGACCCCAGGGGGGGCTGTGCTGCTGCTGCCGCCGCTACCGACTTGGCTACACTGAAGAAGGGAAGCAGGGTAGTCGGAATTGAATTACTGATGGCCGATGCACCGCAGAGCTCCTGCTGCGCAGCTGGGATTCTAGGAGCCAAAAGTGGGTCGAAAAATAAAATGAAGAGAAGAAGCGAGCAGTGAGCATAGCGTTGTGCCGAAAGTGGCAAGATAATCGAGTCGGCAGGCAGCGACGACCCCGGAAATTACCGGCTGTCCCCCGTGATGAACGTTCAGGATTTATTTTTTCTCGCGCGCGCGATTTTGGAGGAGGAGGATGGGAATATCTCTTTTTTTCGTTTTGGGGGTTGTGGGGGAAGGGGGGGGGGGGTCCTTCCCAAAGACTCACCCTCTGCCCCCGTCGAGCTGCTGGAGGACGCGCGGGGTTTGGTACTTCCCGCCACGACATCCCCCCCCCCCCTCCCCCCTTTTCCTCGGGACGCATCGCAATAGGAAGGCCGTTAATTGCACGCCGACTGCCGAGGTGATTTCATTAGGCTACACGGGGCGGCGGGGCGGAGCGGGGCGGGGCGGGGCGGGGCGACTTGGATTGACGCGGAAGGCTGCAAGCTGCGCCCGCCGGGCCCCGCCCCACACACTCAGTCCCCGCAGTCGGGCCGGCGGGATAAAGGACTCAATCCCATCTCTGCATGTCTGCGTGCGCCCGGGTGAAACGGAACCATTATCTGTCACGCAGGTAGTAGTACACTCCTCAGAACGCGTGTGCGTAGTATTTAACGAATAATCCCGAGCTCTATTTGGGGAAGGAGGAAGGGGAGGGGGTGGGTGTCAAGCAACGGAAGTTTACCTCTCAACCCTTTGAAATTCACTTGCGGCCTGTGTTAGACTTCTCTCGTGCGTGTGTGTGCGCGTGCACCTTCCTTCCGTATGTTGCCCGTGGCTGTTCTGTTTCGCTCAACCGCTTTTCCTTGCCGCAGTTCCGCCAGCCGTGCCGCCGCACCGCCGACCCCGAGACAAACTTTCGGATGCCTCACCACCAATTCCCTCCCTCTCCTATCCAAGGGAAAATCCCGTTCTCGAATCTAGAATCAAACTTAGGCTGACTTCAGTTGATGGTGTGTGTGCATAAATACAGGGACGCGATTGTCCTCACCCCTCTGCAAGGTATATTGTCCTTGCTGCGGGAACAACCCCTGACTCCCTGGCCCCGCCGGCATATCGCACGGGCGTGATTCGTGACGCACACGAGGGCTGCGCTGCCCGTCCGAGAAATAATGCATGAATGAGAATTATGTGTACCCTAGCAAGGAAAGGGGGAGAGAAGAAGAAGAAGAAGAAGAAGAAGAAGAAGAAGAAGAAGAAGCGTCGACAGGGGTGGAGGAGGGACCTTAATGACAAAACAAGAACACTGTCTGGCGTGACAAATATTAAATTTTCGCCCGCACATTTAAGTATCCTTTCTCTCTCTCCCCCTCTCCCCGCCCCCCGAAAACACGAACACCAAATACTTTTTGCGGAGAAATTGAAAGGAGGACGGGAGGAAGGGAGAGAGAAGAGGTGGTTAAAAGAACCGTAAGGAAGGGAACGCGACTTCCTGTCTGTGGAGAGTGGGACCGTACCTCACCTTCTTGGGCCGGTTTCAAAAGTTTGTTCGCTTCGGAAACTTTGTTGCTGCCGGCACTGAGCCAGCCCCCCTCCCCCTCCCCCGAGTACGAGGTGTAAGAAGGGGTGCCGAGGGGTCGTGTTTGTGGGGTGCAGCCTCTGGACCAGTTGTCACGCTAACGCTGCAGCATCCTGTGAACGCGATCTTAGCGACGTCTGCGCTCTCTCGGGCGGCGCGGCGTTTGGTGAAAAGCAGAAGTCACGCTCGTTTTATTTGACACGACTTGTAATTTTCATCATCTCGCGCCCTAAGTAGTCGTGCGCTCTAATGTGTAACGCTGCGTTCAAGAGAGGATAGCGGCCGTGTACCTTCCACCTTAATTTTTTTTTAAATAAGAATTCGTGCCGTGTGTTGAGGATGAGGCAGGTGAACCCATTTGACGCGTGGCGCGCGACGCACTCTGTCGTCGCCCTGTCATTAGAAGACATGCGCCGCTCCATTGCACCTTCACGAACAAATCGCCCTCTTTCTTTCACACGGATGAAAGGGAAGAAAATGACAAAAGGGTGCGTGCGTGTGTGTGTGTGTGATGTCTATTTTAAAAGTAATAATGCAGTCTAAATCGCGAGGGATTTTTTAAAGGAGTAATTTTTTGTGAGAGATGCATTTTCGTGCAAGCATTGCACGATGCAATTTTGAATCTTGGTCAAGATGGACACAAAAATATTCCCAGCAAGCAAAACTGCCTGCTCGGTGTAAATAAACGAATATATGTTGAGAACATGGTAAACTTTAAAACTTTATTAATTTATTATAAGCACAAAATCAAAATATAGATTGATCTAAATGTTTAATAAACTTAGTGACGCTACAGGCCGCTAAGAACGTGAGGGGTACATTCGCCTGTTCAAACTACCGTTAATGCTACACAACTCAGGTGTCAAAGAGTGTAGTCGCCCGATGATCTGGGCTCTGCAACAAAACGATCCGCCTCCCAGACTAGGGAAGGCACCTATCAAATATTACAGAAACACATCCATGCAAAGAGTACACATAATTAGGTCACTCTCACGAAGGGAGATCGCTAATCACATGGGCGCAGAGCTGACAGATGTGTTCTGCTCCACACTCAACAGATCCCAAACCCAGAGTTTCAGTTTCAGCTCATTCTTTACATTTAAGACGTAGGAGGCATTTTTCATTCATTGGGTTTTTTCTTATTCTTATACTTAAGATAGAGAGAGACATTATCAAAGTTTTACGGCCAGAGGGCCGCATGCATAAATACAAAAAATACTTGATAAGAGAGTTTCACATTTTGTTCATTTTCGCACGCTTGTTTATTTCTCGCAGTTTGATAGTAAGGTTGATAATAAGGACGATAACGTCCCCCCCACCTCTGCGAGACCAAACCTCACGCAGTTGGGGAACTACTGGAAATTTTGTAATTTAGTTTTGTAAATAAAAAAGGGGGGGCTGCTTTGTCTGGCTTCTCATAAGAAACCAATCTGGCAAGAGAAGCTCCAGACCAGCACAGCTTTCACAATCACTGAAGCAGGAGCATATTGCTCCATCACAATCCCTCTCACGTCGAAAACGTGGCCCCCCATAGAGAGGGTTTAAAATTTAAAAATATAGAGGTACATATTCATATTAAATAAATTCATAAACATGTGGTCAAAATAATGTCCTTGCCATTCCAACACTTGAAATACTTCAGATTTATTAATCATCCCACTGACTTGAGCTTGAACTTGATGATTCAAATGAAGAACAGTAGGATGTTCCTGAACAGACGGTAATACAACAGAAACATGTTAGATCGTGAGGCAAAAGTAAATTTTGAGATCATTGAAAGAAAAAAACACACTTACCTTCGATCAACCAGAGACGTAGCTTTTGGCACCACATTCAAAATGGGAATGGTCTCTATAAATCAACAAATACAAATAAAATGAAATTGCGTCACGCATACTTATGCGAGTGTACAAGCATATGAAACATCATACCAATTAGTTCTTTTCATTGTAGTTTTTGATTTACTTGATGTATCATCTGCTAAAAAGTCAAAACTTCACGAAAAATGCTCTCTGAAAAAATGGCCGGAACTCTTTGTGAATTTTGGGGAAACCACAACTTTTCCTCGCTATCAATAATTGATTAACTTCTGAAGTATTACAACTATTTACATAATTGAGATAGCAAAAAGCACGGTTTTTGACTATGTACGAAGAAGTGTTGAGAAATCACAACATGTTTTAACCGTTTTTTTACAGTGGAAGGCAGTCAAAAATCCGCGTGGAGACCATGGCGATTCCATATGGGTGGGGTGGCCGAAAAAAAGTCGCGTAAACCTATATGGTATCCTATCGCGTGGCCAAATGCTCCATCCGCGGTATGGGGGAATCCACATTCGGCCCAGGGCCCAGGGTAATCAAAAGGTTGAGACAAAAATTCACAAACTACGTGACTTACCTTCATTTCGTGAGATAAAATTAACGAATCCGTCGATTTCCCCTCAACCGTTTTGACGTGGTTAGCGCAGCACAGCTTTTCTCAGCCATCAGTCGTGCGACTCGCTATGCCTGAATCCCGGCCCGGTCGCCATCCGGGCCGCACCAAGTGCGATCAGCGGCCGCCCGCGGAATACTAAAGATATTTCTGCGCAAGCGGGCCAGGACCGGCCAGCTAGGACTATGCTCGTTGAGGGGACGCATGCCCCCACCGCCACCGCGAGGGTCCGAAGATAACTGAGTGTTAGGGGAGGGGGGGGGGATGCAGCCAGGTAGGCTGACGGGCGGTCTTTGCCTGGCCCGTACCAGGTTAAGATTAGCAGACTTAGCACAGCAGATTAACAATGCTCTCTTCCTCTCTTCGTTATTAAGAGGACTAGCGTTTAGCCGTAGTAATTTAAACATATTAACAAACACGGAACATCTAAATATTTAGCTATGTAGCTAACCATTGACCCCCTACTACTAAATGTTCAGTTACACAGTTCACTATGCAATTTTGCTAATGGTGCTAATGTTATGAATTTCTGAAATTATGTTACTGATGTATATTATCTTTAGAGCGTGCTTGTTGTATGGCATCATCTGCAACAGAGTTGCTTTCTGAAGCCTATTTTGGCTGTGTTTCTGCTTGGTCCGGATGGTCCCCGGAGGTGAGGCTGGACGTGTCCGATACAGAGAGTGCAGCGCGACAAAGAGCAGCAGGTGGTCCCGAGGGAGGGACAATTGAGACGTCGCCTCGTCTCGCCTCGCGCGGTGCGGAGCGGCGCGGGGCCTCCGGGCGGGACCGGAGCCCAGGTGGAGACTCGACCGAGACTGAGTGGGGCTGCACTCGCAGTGCCATTCTAACGCGTCGAAAACGCGCATATACTCGAAAGATAATTCTAACTTAGTTGGACTCTGTTCAGTGGTACACTGGTAAAACAAGTGTGCAATATTTGCACACCAAACGTGTGCAAGTTGTGATTTAGCAAATTACATGGTGTTTAACTCAAGTTGCACACTTGCGTGGTGTGCAAATTTTAGACGTTTTGTAAACGTTTAAATTCTGCACACTTGGACACACACAGTCCTATGCTGTCAATAGGGAACCATACGGTGTGCATCTCCTATACGTTTCGGAAGTGTCGAAAGTTTAAACACCAATTGACGTATAACATAGTTAGACACCACAAAGTGTCGAGAAAGTGCACACTTGAACTTAAACATCAATTGACGTGCAAAATTAAACACTTGTTTTACCAGTGTAGAAGCTGCGGTTTCCTGTCCCGCGCAAGCCGTCCCACAGACCAGAGACCTTCTAGGAGAGAGGCCCTTTAGGATGTGATGTCTGCAGGCCTCCAGTTTTCCTCCGCAAGCCCTTCCAGCAGGTCTCATTGAGGTACCCACCATTCTTCCAGATATAGTCCTCTCGGGTAGACTTCCTGTTTTTCAGATTATAAGTCTTCCTCGGTAGACTTCAGGTAGACTACTGTCTACAGGGTTGTGCGTAGTACTCGGTGTAACAACCAAGACCGCGGGGCTCACTTTCTGTCCGGCGGCCGCCACCTGGCAGGGCGGGGCAAAGCGGAGCGCGGTGGGGCCGGAGCCGCAAGATAAGTTGGGGACGCATCCTCGCTCTGCCACCTCTTCGCGTTATCTCCTGCGGGTGTGCTCTCGTGTGTGTATGTTACTACCCCCTCCAATATAGCTCTTATCCTGCCGCCACGCCCCGCCACGCCCCGCCACGCCCCGCCACGACCCGCCCTGCACCGCCACGCCCCGCCCTTGTTTGCTCAGGTGTGTGTCGGGGAGGCGCAGCGCGCTGGAACATTAATACCTTTTAATATCGCCACAGGATCGTATAATAAAACAAGTATATTATATCCATCCATATCGCTTTTTTGTTGTTGTTTTTCTAACGAAATATTGGTTATTCGTCCCCGTCGCCAGAGGAGCAGGAGTGTTTCATATCGACTTTTACAGCCGGGCGTGCTGGCGCTGCCGGCGGCCGAGTCACAAACCCCTCAGAACGCCCCGCCGATGGTTCACCAGGCGGCT